CCAGAACCGCCTCTCAACTGCACTAGACCACTTCCAACCTCCCTTCACCGCACTACACCACTCCCAACTGCGAGATACCACTCCCTACCTCACTCAACCTCTCTCAACCGCCCTTCACCGCTCTCGACCTACCAGAACTGCACTCCACCACACCAAATCGCTCCCCACCGCTCTAGCAGCAGCCTCGACTGCCACCAGTAGCACCAGCAGCAACAAAGGCTGCCCCTAGCGCACTAGCAGCAGCTTCGGCTGCCACCAGTAGCGCCAGCAGCAGCATAGGCTGCCCCCTCCAGTGCACCAACAGCAGCTTAGGCTGCCACTAGTAGCACCAGCAGCAGCTTCCACTGCCACCAGCGCACTAGCAGCAGCCTAGACTACCATTAGTAGCACTTGCTGTAACCTCCACTGCCGCCAGCGCACTAGCAGCAGCCTAGAATTTCACCAGTATCACCACCAGATGCATAGGCTGCCCCCCACCCACCCCCCGGCGCACCAGCAGCAGCTTCAGCTGTCCCCCAGCAGAACCAGAAGCAGCAGAGGCTGCCCCCAGCAGACCCAGCAGCAGCTTAGGCCGCTTTCAGTCGCGCCAGCACCAGCTTAGACAGCCCTACCACTAGTAATGCCACCTCTACTGGCCCCTACCCCCATACTAGCGTGCCATTTTGATGTGGCGACAGTGGCCGCAGCATCACTGGTGGCCGCAGCAGCAGCAGTGGCAGCAGCACCGGTGGCCACAGCAGTAGCAGTAGTGGCCGCGACAGCAGTTGCCGCAGCAGCAGCAATGGCCGCGGCAGCAGCCGTGGTCGCAGCACCTGTGGCCGCAGGAGCAGCAGTGGCCACCGTAGTAGCAGCAGCTGTGGTTTTAGCAGCAGCGCCAGCGGCAGCCTCCACCACGGGGCCCTGTCGGACCCATCCAATACACACACTGGTGTGTGGGAGTTGCAGTTGAGGTTGAGACTTGTGTTTCTAGTCTTGGTGCTTGTGTAGTTTCCAGTGCAGGCGCCTCAGAGGTTCTTAGTGTGGGAGCTGCAGCTACCACTAGTCTAGTCCCAGCCTTTGTCCCTGACTCGGGTGCAACCTCACCGACTGCACAGCTTTTCTCCACCCTAGACTCTGGAGCGTCCAGCTATTTCTTTCGCGACCGCACCAACCTCACGCCACTGCACACTCCAGTCACTGTCGCCTTGGCTGACCCCTTCGTGGGATTTGTAGTTGCCCATAGCACCACCATTCTCCTGTGCCATGCGGCTCCCTCTGGGTTTCTCACATGTTACTACACCCCCTCATTCTCTAGGAACTTGGTGGGTGTCAGTCACCTCCATGACCTAGGAGTTGTCACCAATTTTCCTCTAGACGAGCCTGTTGCCTCCTGCACGGTCGGTTCCACTGGAGTGCCTCTGGCGACTTTCCATAGGGAGCTGGGCTCTGGTCTGTACTCACCACACACTGGGTCCCACCACACTGGGTCTGGTCAGGTTAGGTCAGGTCAGGTAGCTGCTGTGTCGTGCGACTGTCAATTACTCACCCACCCGTCGGTCCTTTAGCACCACCGTCTAGGTCACCCGTCGTTCCCACGTCTCAGTAGGATGGTACGTAACCATCTGGTCTCAAGTCTCCCAGGGTCGCTTGCCCCGCTTCCTTGCTCGCCTGCGCCACCGTGCACTCCTTGCGTCGAGGGTCGGCAGCGCGTTGCCCCTCACTCCTCGTTCTCTTCCACCACGACTCCCTTCCAGACCCTGCACTTGGACGTCTGGGCCCCTCCCTAGTCCGTGGCCCACATCCGTGACCCTACACCACGGTTTTACCTTTGCGACAGAAGGCCGACATGCCTACCGTTCTCAAGCCATAGCTACTAGCGAGGGGTGACGCCCAGGCCCTTTGTGGGCTCTGCCTGCACTCGGACCGTGGTGGTGAGTTTTCACCTGGCAACGTTCTGTCAGGGTCAGGGGATCATCCAGTCTTACACGCTACCAGACTCGCCGCAATAGAACGGGTAGCCCAGCGACGCGTCGGCCTGGTCATGGAGGTTGCCCGGACCTCCATGTGCCATGTTGGTGCCCCCCCAATTCCTGTGGCCTCTGTCAGTCCGCTACGACACGCACTACCTGAACCTGTGGCCTAGTGATGCACGGCCACGGGTGACGCCTGTCTCCCTTTGGACAGGTTCTCCGAATGTAGCAATTGACTACCGTGTCTGGGGTTCCCTGGCCCACGTTTGCGCCGCTGCACGAACAAGTTGTCTCCACGCACCCGTGCTTGCGTCTTTCTTGGCTTCCCACTCGACACCTCCGATTGGCAGGTCTACGACCCTGTAACTTGCCAGTTCTTTAGTTCCCAGGACGTCACTTTTGATGAGTCGGTCAGTTACTACAGGAGTCGCCCTCGCCGAGGTTCTGAGACCTTCTCCCTCCCCCCCCATTCCTCACCACTGAGCCCCCCCCAGTCGCCCCGGTAGCTCCCCCCTCTTCGCGTCCTACCCCGTCAGGTGTGTCGCACGTCACTCCGCGGTCGTCTCCCCTGCAGCGTCCAGTTGCTGCCATGACTGGGGGTGCGGGAGGTGCAGCTGCGGAGGGTGTGGGTACTGGGGCTGCTGGAGCCCGTGGTGCTGGCTCTGGGGGTGCAGGGGGTGTGAGATTGGAGACCACTCCTGAGGAGGACACAGCTGTCTCGAATCAGCGGCCTCGCCCCGCCTCACCCCCTGGCTTTTCGTCTGTTCCGCAGTTTCCTCCTCGTTCGCCTCTGCGGCTGGTAGATGCGGAGCCTGGGGGTGTTCCAGCCGGAGGTACTGGAGTCCCTGGGGGTGTTGTCGGTGGAGTTTCTGGTTCAAAGGGTGCTGGAGCCGGAGACACGAGCACTACGATGTCTACACCGCGCACTGTACGTGTCCTGACCCGTGTGCAGCATCTAGATAGGTTGGAGAGGGAGGAGTGGGAGCGATTGAGAGGTCACGACAGCATCAGCAGCAGAAGAAATCTCAGTCGGAGCGTCTGGAGAGAGTAGAGGAGGATCCCTGGCTGCAGCAGCGGGTGCAGTAGCAGCCACACCAGGAGAGAGTAGAGGAGGAGTTCCGGTTGCAGTAGCAGGTGTTGTTGTGACCGCATAAGGAGAGAGTAGAAGAGGAGACCCGGCCGCAGCAGAAGGTGTACTTACGACCGCAACAGGAGAGAGTAGAGGAGTCCCGGCCGCAGCAACAGATGCAGATGCGACCGCAGCAGGTTAGAGTAGAGGAGGAGTCCCGGCCGTAGGAGCAGGTGCAGTTGCGACGGCAGCAGGAGAGGGTAGAGGACGGGTTACGGCCGCAGCAGCAGGTGCAGTTGCAGTCGCAGCAGGAGAGGGTAGAAGAGGAGTCACGGCCGCTGCAGCAGGTGCAGTTGCAGCCGCCGCAGGAGAGAGTTGAGGAGGAGCCACACCTGGAGTAGGAGGAGCAGCAGCAGGGGCAGGTGCCACCGCAGCAGATGCCGGAGGAGGTGGAGCAGCAGCGACTTAGAGACCTGCCCGACCCGGCACCTGTACGCCTGGTCCGTGGTCCTCTACCGTCCCCTCCTGTTCCCCCTATCAAGTCCCTTGCCTTGTCCCCGTGGACTCTTCATTCTCCCCTCAATCGTGCTGTGTCTCCAGAGCCTTGTCTGTCTTGTTACCGTGCTAATAGCCCGTTTCACCTTGTCCTTTGCTCTCGTGTTCCACCTCCTCCAGTCCTTCCACAGCCTTCTGAGTCGTCCCTTACTGAGTTTCCCGACTCACTGTCCGACTACCTCCGTGCCTCACGTCCTGTCGTCTCCTGTGTTTTGTTGTCATTGGTCACTCACCCGACCGGCCCCCCGCTGTCTGTCTCGACTCTTGTTACCACTATCGCTAGCTTTGCCTCTTCCCATCGCCTTGACTACGGATCTCACCTGGTGAGTGGCACTGCTCGTTCTCCGTCCTCTGGGGGTGTTCTTGTTTTTCCCTTAGAGGTCCTGGAGGACAGGAAGTTCGAGATTGGTTTCCTAACGTCCGTTGTTCCTCATCTCTGCGCCATGCTGCTTGCCCCTGAGGGGGATCCAGACGCTCTTGACATCCCGATCCCTTGCAATCACGCTGAGGCGGTCTCGGGACCTTGGGCGTCGTACTGGATAGCAGCTGAGGAGGCAGAGATGGCATCTTATAGGTCCACAGGCACTTACGTCGACGCCGTCCCACCACCTGGAGCGAACGTTGTCAGTGGCATGTGGCTCTACAAGGTAAAGCAGTCGCCTGGATCACCACCGGTGTTCATGGCGCACAATGTGGCGAGAGGCTTTAGTCAGCGCGATGAGGTATGCTTTTCCAGACCTTCGCTCCCACCCCAAAGATGACCACTCTTCGGGTGTTGCCGCATACCGCAGCTCAGCGCTACTACGAGTTGCACTTCTTGGACTTCTCCACAACATTCCTTCAGGGGAGCCTACACGAGCAGATCTGGCTGCATCGTCCGCCTAGCTTCACTAGCACTTTCCCTCCTCGGACCCAGTGGCAGCTGCGTCGACCAGTCTACGGTCGGCGTCAGGCTCCTCGTGGCACAACACACTTCGCACGACTCTTGCAGCGCTTGACTTCTTTCCGTTGTCTGCTGACCCGTCGCTGTTCGTCCGCTGCGGCTCGACCCCGTTCTTTGTTCTAGTCTACGTTGATGACCTGATCTTCGCTACTCCTGACAGACGCGCACTGGCCTCCGTGAAGGAGGAACTGCAAAAGAGACACACTTGCACTTGTCAAATTTATATTTAAGAGATATCCTGCTTGCTGTAGTTATTGTTCTTTGCTGTTGGTGGTGCACCTCTTGTTTGTGTTTCTCGACTATATCTTGTATGCTATGCTTTAGTGAAGCTAACTTGTTAGGTCGATTCTCTCACTCCCTTGGCCTTGACCCTCGACACCCGCTTGGCCTAGGCTACTAAGCCTAGGCCCTCCTTAGACCCGGTTACCAGTTCAGTTAGGATTGTAACATGGTATTGAGCTACTAAGATCCTAGACCTAAGTTAATGGGCCCACTGTTGGCGTTGTGCACGCAGTTAGTAATGGCGCCCCTGCTGGCGCCGTCCACTCAGCTGCTGGCTCGCGAGTTCTGCAGCAACTGCGCAATTGATTCTGCTACGGTGCGACTCTGCAGCGCCTCCGCTCCTCGCTCTTCCCGTCTCATCGCTCGTCGCTCTGCCTGTCGTGTCGCTCCGTCGCGGCAGAGAGGAGAGAGAGGGGGAAGGGCGTGGCAGCGGACCGCTAGCAACGACCGCCAGCGTCGGTGCCAGCGCCAGCGACAACCGCTGCTGCCAGCATCATCTCTAGCGGCGGTCGCCTGCACCATCGCCAACCACGCTCCCCGTCCGCACCCTGTTCGCGAATCCTGTCCGCATCCCACCCGCCCTCCCGTCGACTTCGCAGCTGCTGTGAAGGGAGTGGCGGAAGTGGCGGGAGTGGCGAGAGAAGCTGCGCCATTCACCTGCTCGCGCCAGACCGCTCGCACCCTGCCGCCCACACGCACTTCACCGCCCGTTTCCGGCCCGCTCGCTCGAAGGTCCCACTGCCCCCACGGCATCGAGAATGAAGGGGACGGCGTACGAAGGCGGTCTTCGCGGCCCTCCCCCCCCCCCCCGTCACGTTTTCTTCCCTCCCGTCACCTCGCTCCGCCCGTCGCATTCCCCGGCCCCCTGCCCGTCACCCCCCTCCCCCCCTCTCGCCGCGACTGTTCGCGTGTGCAGCGGCGGTCACTGTGGGTGGGAGAGGGAGGGGAAGGGATTGGCGGTGGAATGCTGTGGGGGAGACAGGAAAAGGGGGAAGGGAGTGGCGGCGGAACACCAGCAACACCCGCCAGCACCAGGCACCAGCGCCAGCCGCCAGCACCAGGCACCAGCGCCAGCCGAGAGACCCCGCCAGCAGCTACTCCGCCAGCAGAGACCCCGCCAGCAGCTACTCCGCCAGCAGAGACCCCGCCAGCAGCTACTCCGCCAGCAGAGAGACCCCGCCAGCAGCTACGCCACTAGCAGAGACACCCCGCCAGCAGCTACTCCGCCAGCAGAGACCCCGCCAGCACCTACTCCGCCAGCAGAGACCCCGCCAACAGCTACTCCACCAGCAGAGACCCCGCCAGCAGCTACTCCGCCAGCAGAGGCCCCGCCAGCAGCTACACCGCCAGCAGAGAGACCCCGCCAGCAGAGAGACCCTGCCAGCAGCTACACCGCCAGCAGAGAGACCCCGCCAGCAGCCCCACCTGTGACCAACAACCCCACCTGTGACCAGCAGGCCCACCTATGACCAGCAGCCCCACTTGTGACCAGCAGTCTCACCTGTGACCAACAGCCCCACCTATGACCAGTAGCCCCACATGTGATAAGCAGCCCCACCTGTGACCAGTAGCCCCACCTGTGACTAGCAGCCCCACCTGTGAAGGACTGTACAGGGATCGTCGTGGGTGGGGAGGGGTCTGGAGAAAGAAAGGGGGGGAGGGGGTGCGGTTCTAAGGGGCGGTTGACATGGGGGGTGAGGTTAAATGGGGTTGGTTGATTGGGGGTGGGGATGTGGGGGTTAGTAAGAGGGGACGTTGCGGCCACCCCCCAACCACCTCTCCTCATCCCCCACTTAACCCCCCCTCTGTAAAAGGGGGTAGTAAGCAGGCAGAAGACCAAAAGCAGTACAGAAACGCTGATGTTCACTAGACTGAAGTGCCTTGGTGAATATATCAGTAGTGTTGGCCCGAGTGGCCACGTAAGCAAGACAAAGCAAACCACGCTGGTGCAACTCTCGAGCAAGGAAGTAACGCAGAGCGATGTTCTTCGTCCTGTGCTCCAGTCTGTGCTCCTGACACAAGGCAATCTTGGCCTTGTTGTCTACGTACAGAACTGGAGGAGAACGAGGCCGCTCTCCCAGGTCGGTCAGCAGATAGGTGAGCCGTCGTAAGTCCTGTGCAGCCATGGCCCTTGCGTAGATCTCAGCCTCACAACTGGAACTGAGAACAGAAGACGAGCGGGTAGACGGCCAACAAACAGAGCCGGAGCCAAGGCTGAAAGTCTAACCTTGTGACGACCGCTGCGTAGCCAAGTCGTCAACCCAAGAAGCGACTGCGTGTCCAGTGAGGACAACTCAACCCTCTCCTCCAAGCACGAGCCCCATGCCTGATGTACTGAACAAGTAGCGCAACACCGTCTTATCAGCCTGCCAGTGCTCTGGTCGGTGTCTCCCGGGCGCAACGTAGCGTGCCAGGATGCTAAGAGGGTAGGCAAGGTCAGGTCGAGTGCAGGTCATGAGGTACATGAGGCAGCCCACAAGCTCTGGATATGGGCCACTCAGCTCTACGAACTCGTCCGAAGGTGGAGCTGAGAGCGAGTGACCACTAGGCAGAGGAGTGGACTGTGGCAAGGAGAACCGGAAGCCAAAGCCCTGAAGGACCTGGTGCACCATGTGTGACTGAGTCAGGGTAATGGTGCGCCATGCTCTATCCCGGGTGATCTGCAACCCAAGATAGCTAAGCAACTCACCCAAGTCTGTGCACGTGTGTCTCTTCTGCAACTCCGACTTCACAAGGGCCAGTGCCTCAATGTTAGCAGTGGCAAAAACCAAGTCGTCGACGTACACGCGGATGTAGAACGGTGGCAGCGAAGTGTCGGTGTGCAGAAACAATGACGGGTCAGCAGCGGAAGGAGCAAACTCAAGAGCCGCAAGTGCCGTCCTCAGTGTGTCGTGCCACTCGCGAGGCACCTGGAGGAGACCGTAGACAGGCCGCCAGAGGCTCCACTAGATACGTGCAGGAAACGACCCAGTGAAACCAGGTGGGCGGCGCAGCCAGATCTCCTCGTGTAGAGTGCCCTGTAAGAAAGCTGTGCTGAAGTCAAGAGAGTGAAGCTCGTAGTCACGCTGAGCGGCAACGTGAAGCAGCACCCAAAGAGTGGTCATCTTCGGGGTAGGAGAGAAGGTCTGAAAGTAGTCAACTCCCTGTCGCTGACTAAAGCCTCGTGCAATGTAACGAGCCTTGAAGGCAGGCGGAGAACCCGGCGGCCGCTTCACCCTACAAATCCACATGCCATCGACTCTGTTCGCCCCAGGAGGGGGAACTGCGTCGATGTAAGTGCCTGTGAACTTCCAGGATGCCATCTCTGCGTCCATGGCTATTTGCCACTGTGAGGAGTAGGGACCCGAAATCACTTCTGTGTTGAAAGGGTATCTTAGGCAAGGTAGTAGGAACCCTAGGTATGGCGAGAGTAAGAGTCGAGAGAGAAGGCCAAAAAGAGGGGTTTCACTATAGACTCAAAGGTACAAATAGGCAAGAAGCATGACAGGAAGGTGCACCACCAAATAGGAAAACTCTATAACTACAGTAACTAATCCTACAGGCAGTTACATATTGAAAATATTAACTTATATTTTCCGACATGCCCCCATAAGTGCCTGTAGGGAAGAAAGTGCAGTCAACGCCCCCATAATGGGGTACACCAGACAGGCCGCAGCGGAAATCATAGCAATAGGCAAGTGGAGTGGCAACTGGTGCAGTGATGGTAAATCCAGCTGTACCAACCCCTTGACCAAGGCAGAAACAGTAGCAGGAGTTGGGGCGGCAGGTCGCCTGAGGAGCAGGCTCTGTGGCTGCAACATGCAGCAGGACAGCAGCGGCTCGACGGCAGCACCTGCAGGCCCCAGCAGCAGGTAGCAGAAGTAAAGGCAGCAAAGGCAGATGGTAGCAGGGGCGGCAGCTGGAGGTGCCACGGCAGCAGCGGGCGACAGCAGCAGATGGCCGGCTGATTTTCGTCGCCCCCTCACTCTCCCCCCCACAGCAGCACATGCGGCAGTGAGAGAGAGAGGAGGGGCGGCAGCTTCATGCTCACACCCGCCACCCCGAACCCTCCCCCCCCCACTGCCGCACGCGCAGCAGGGAGAGAGAAGGGACGGCGTGTGGCGGCGTAGCGGTGTGGCACAGCAGCGAACAGAGTGTCGTCAACCACCCTCGCGCCTCCCCCTCCCCCTCCCCCCCCCCGCCACACCGTCGTCCACAGCGGAAGACATGGCAGTGGGCGTGGATGGCGTTGGCGAGATCGCGAGTAGGGGGGGGGGAGTAACGGGGGGGTGCAACAGGTGCCGCAACGAGCGCCTTCGCACAGCCCGTCGTCGCTTGCGGGGCAGCTGCAGCTGTAGCAACTGCATGGTCGACGGGAGGGCGGGGCAGGGGGCGCGTTTGGCGACTGAAGCAGCTCGGCCGCCACACCTGCCGTCTCCCCCCAAAGCGACCGTCGATGTTGACGCTCGGGGCCGCGACAGGGCGGGACGAGGTTGCAGTAGGGCGCGAGGGGCAGGCGACGGGGCCGACGACTGGGGCCGTGGAAAAACAGCGCCAAGTGCGCCACGCTCAACTTCGCAACATTCGCGACGAGCGGCTGAACTGGCACAGCTGGGGCTGCGATGAGCGCCATGGTAGGAGCGTTATGCGGTGGGCCCATGGAAAAAAAAAATTTAGGTCCTAGGATAGGAACCACTCTGATAACATGTTGAAAGGGTATCTTAGGCAAGATAGTAGGAACCCTAGGTATGGCGAGAGTAAGGAACGAGAGTCGAGAGAGAAGGCCAAAAAGAAGGGTTTCACTATAGACTCAAAGGTACAAATAGGCAAGAAGCATGGCAGAAAGGTGCACCACCAAATAGGAAAACGCTATAACTACAGTAACTAATCATACAGGCAGTTACATATAGAAATTATTAACATATATTTTCCGACATTCTGCGTAAGAGCGCAGGGTCGGGATGTCCAAAGCATCCGGGTCTCCCTCAGGTGCAAGCACCATGGCCACGAGATGAGGTACAATAGCTGCAAGACACTCAAAGTCCTCCTGCGTGTCCTCAAGGACGTCCGTGCCAAGAGCACACTCACCCCCGACGGACGGAAAACAGACAGACTCAGACTCAGCAGCAAGACTAGCGGCGTAGTCGAGACGACACGCAGCAGCAAAGTCAACAAGCTCAGCAACTAGTCCGGACGCAGCAGTGGACTCAAACGAAGGGTCAGTGACAAAAATGGCTATTAGACATGTGACAGTAGGGCTGGCTGCGCGAACCAAGTCAGACTCAAGGTCCGGAATGTCAGAAAGAGAGGACGCCGGAGGAGACGGCAAGGGAACTCGCAATGGAACAAAGGAAGGACGAAGTGCCATACCGTGCGTGACTGGGACAGGAGGAGGACGCGGATGAGGGACACGACGAACAGTGCGAACAGCGCGAACAGGCAAGGCAGGACGAGAATCAGGCATATGGCGCTCTGTAAGAGAGTCTGTCTGCTCAGTGTAAGGAGAAGGAGCAGACTGGCTGTAACTGTGGCTGAGACTGGTCAGGCGGTGGACACAGTAGAGGTGGAGTAAGGTCAGTAGAAGACGAGAGGCCAAGAACTTGGCGAAACAGTGGAACGAAGTATGGTCGCAGCCGCACAGTGCCACAAGCACCAGTATCGACAGCTCCAGCACCCCCAGCTCCAGCACCTCCAGCTCCAGAGTTGCCAGCTCCCATACCTGCAGCACTACCAGCTCCAGCACCTCCAGCACCTCCAACACCTCCAGCAACAGCAGCACCACCAGCTCCGGCAGCTCCAGTACCTCCATCACGAGCACCTCCAGGACCAGCAGCTCTAGCACCACCAGCACCTCCAGCAGAAGCAGCACCACCAGCTCCGGCAGCTCCAGTACCTCCAGTACGAGCACCTCCGAAACCAGCAGCTCCAGCACCTCCAGCACATCCAGTAGCAGCAGTACCACCAGCCCTGGCAGCTCCTGCTCCTCCAGCTCCAATGCCTCCAGCGGCAGTGTCTCTAGCTACAGCCCCCCCAGCTCCAGAAGCGCCACTCCAAAGGCGGGTGCGCTGAGCAAACCACTCGCACAGCTGCAGTGGAGAGAGTGGCTCCCGTCCTCACGAGGAAGCCCTAGGACCTCTAGCAGACAAAGTACCACCAGGCTCAGCACCCCAAAACTCAGCAACCCCCGGCTCCACACCCTAAGGCACAGCACCCCCAGGCTCCACACGCTCAGACTCAACACCCCTAGGCTCCACACCCTCAGACTTAGCAACTCCAGGCTCAGCACCCCCAGGCTCCGCACGCTCAGGCTCAGCACCCCCAGACGCAGCACCCCTAGCAACACCACTCCCAGGAGCACCAGAGTCGACACCGACCTCGACGGGCTCAGCCAAGGGGAATGGGTCTACTTGAGACACACCTGAGGGAGCAGCACCCTGAGGGGGGAGGGGGTGTTCCAGAGGGGGACCTGGTGCGAAGAAGCACGACGGAG